TTACTTTTTTGAAATGAAATATATCCAGTTCAGGAAGTTCTTCAACCAAATTCACACTCATCTGACTTTACAGGAATTTAAAAAGAGCATCAGCATCTATTCTTTTACAGGTGAGTTCAATCGGAAAAGAACCCAGAGAAACCTCAAATCTTCATATCCACCTCCCCACAAAATTCTGCTTACTTTTGGGGGGGCACCTAAACAACAAGATTAGGAACACTAATAGCAGAAGTTGCCATTTACTGAGTGTGCGCCATGTGCCATCATCCTGAGAGAGGCCAAGTTAGAAAAGTAAAGTAACTCCCCTGATGGCTTATGAATTTGAAAGATTACTTTTCCATCCATTCTTTATCCAATTTACCTATTCGTAGTCCTGTGATACCTGGAAATTGAAGAAAGGTTTTCTTCTTTAAGGTGAAAATAAAATTATGATCTACTTTCTTAAAGATTTTAAAACCGACCCCCCAGGTATACAGGTCAGCAGAACAATCACAAATAGATGAATATTGACAGGAATCACTCAAAATAGGTGCAAGATTTAAAATTTGGAAGACTAGAGGAATCTTTGGCTCTGATCATTTTTTAATCCTGGTAAATAGATTTTGTACTCCAGGCAAAAAATTACTTTCTATCTGAATACATGAAAGTCCCTGGGGCATAGAAAAGATACTAGAAAAAATTATCCTGCAAAAAAGTCATTTCCTTTAAGAAAGGTTAAAAGAGGCCCAATAACTGAGAAAAAAAGTAAGTCTGTCTATGATGTTTATGTTTTCTTTGTAAATTTAAGAATAAAAATATCATTTGTTATTGCAAACAATTTACATTTATTACAAAAAATAGAAAATTCAGACAAGCAAAATAGGAAAATAATTACTATTAAAATTTATATTGTGAATGGATAATAATGTTAAATTTCTTTGTAATTTATTATGTCCCTGAAAATTATATAATTCCATTCTTCTTTGTGACTGGATAAAACTCTATTGTTTATATATGTACTATTGAACATTTTTGATTAGATGTTTTTATGCTTCCCAAAGGCTTAGAGACCATGAAAGGGTCAATGGTTATGTGAGTTTATTGAATTACAACAAATAAACCCACTTCTGAAACAATTGTAGGAAAAGTCAAGGTCTGCTGTTTTTATAACATCAACTTGTGTTTTCAATTATTTTTCTACTGAAAAATGGAGTCAAATATCCTCTATTCCTTCAGGAAAACATAAGGGTTGGAGTCAAATATTCTTGGGACGTGGTTGGAGTATGTTTATTCCATCAGGTGAGAGTTGCCATAGAACAGGCTGAATTTCCACATCAATTTGGTTTTTAAGATTATAAGAAAGTTTGCCCAAATAGCACATGATGGACATCAGCCAGTCTCTGGCTCTTGAATGGTCAAGAATTTTCTAATTATCGTCAACCCTAAGCACCTCTAAAAATCTCCAAAAGATGCTTAAAAATTCATTTTGTCAATAAAAATTGTTTTTAGTTTTCATATTATTATAACACAGAAACATACGTGTGTGTGTGTGTGTGTGTGTGTGTGTAAAATGCTACATACATCTAGACTAGACATTCTCAATGGGGGCAGTTTTGTCAATTTTGTCTTTCTGGGTAAATCTGTCAATGTCTGAAGACTTTTTTTTATTACTCTGCCTACAGATGTAGGCACTAATGGCATTTAATTGAAAAAGTCCAGTGACAGTACTGAATATACCACAGTGTGCAAGACAGTACTCCACAACAAAGAATTACCTGGTCCAAAATATAAGTAATTTCCAAGTTAAAGAATTTTGATCTAGACATAGCTCCACACATTTTGTTTAAAGTATACTTGTTGCTTGCAGATTTGCAAGTAGAAATACCAAGTAGAAGACAGACTCTCTCAATTCTGCTGTGATGTGGCAATTAAGATATCTCTGGATTTAATGTAGCTCTTTGATTTTGCATTTTGGAAAGTCTCTAAGGGGACTTGTTACTTTTTCCATTTTTTTCTGTGATTGGCTACATTATGTTCCCATGATATCCTATCTGTTTAGTTCTTAGGGAGGTTAAGAAGAGAAGTTTTATCACAGGTAATTATCCTTCCAAAAATACTATTCTTAATGATTGTTCATCTATCTCATTCTTTACACATCTCCGTGAAAATTGTGAAACTAAATCAAAGTTAAAGGCTCAGAGAAGGAGCAGTCAAAGGATAAGAGAAGAATGAAGATGATGTCTTCTCTATAAACTAAAAGAGGTTAAATATTTGCTAATTCCTAGTGGTTTATGGAAATTTAAATTTAATAAAATCTCATCATTAGAAAAAAAAGGCAGAGTTGTTCGTTTTTGTGTTACATAATAGCAAGTGGGATAGATAGGCATTTTCATAAATTATTTCAATGATTTTTAACTATACTTGAATTTTGAAAGGCTAAGTATCACAAGCAATAAATAAAATCAATAACCAGACAAGGGCAAGGGTAATACATTTAAGACTAAGTGTAAGTAGACTCTATGTAGCTCCAACAAAGATAATAAATAAAAGATTTAGTGGGATCATGCCATAAGACCTTCACAATGCAACTGCATTTTTCCTTTGACACTCTGGTTCTCAAGGCATCTAGTGTGACTATTTCCAATGGCAAATAGGCTTACTTCATATTTATTGCTAATGATCAACATGACAAAATAATTTAGAGGCAACATGGCACAAACTCTCAGTGTTTGGCTTATCACTCATCTGGATCCCTTGCACAAGGCTGACTGGAAAATATTTACTTCATCTTTTTAATGAAAAAATATGAACAGAATTAGACTGTTGGCCAATATCCAGTGGAATGGCTTTGCTGCAGATGAGGGAAGCATCACCCACAGAGGAAGTTTATTTAACTTGAATGTACTTTTTCCCTGTGATGATTGCCCATGAATCCAAGAATATGCAATTATTGATCTCAACTTTAACATTTATCTAGAAACCCAGGGCCTGCCTATCTCTATTTTCTTTCTGCCCCTGGTTTTGATTTCTTCTTCCTCTATATATTTGGTGTTCCACATAATGGGCCAGAGTGTAAGCACTGATTTGATCACTCACTTATTGAGTGGAGAAAAGGACAAAGGACAAATCAATAAGCACAAGAAACCAGAATCAATTTTTCCTGGGCTTCCACTGACCATAAGCCCTGGTTTGAACAATTTCCCCCTCCAAATCATTTATAATATAAAAATAATAAGAACCTTACAATCATGCTTGTGGTTAAATAGCATAATAACCGGAAATGCTCAATGAAAATGCAGATTTGTGGACCCACCCCTCAATATTCTAATTCAGTTTTTCTGGGGAGGTGATCCAGAAATCTACATTTTAACAAGAAATCCACACATTATCTTTGAGAAACAGGCATAGTTGATAATACAGGCAATATGGGATGCAAGTTGAGTTTTACTCTGGGTTTAGTAATTGCAAAAATTGTTGAACTTAAGCTTTAGTTTGTCATCTATAAGATAGGAGTAAAATATCTATGCCTTTTGTTTGTTAGCTCTCAGTATTAAGATATTCATTTAAAAAGCCCAATGCACAATTAGTACATAGTAAATGCATTCCATTAACAGTCATATCTGTCATTATTGACATTATCTGCCCTCACCCATTCCTATATATTCATTTTGGGGAAATATAGGAGATCTAGAAGTAATGAGAGTCCTTTATATATATTTTTTTTATTTTAGAAAACTTAATGAAAATTAAATATTTGCAATAAGGGCATGTATGCTACATTACCATTAAATTTCTTTGCTTTTGGCAACAATTCTTTAACTCCATGTGATAATTTTCTCATGCTGCTCAGAGGCTGTATCTGGTCTTTTTATACTTTAAAAAAACAATTATTATTTAATAAATGTGATTTGATTTATTGATAACGTCACAAAATATGAAAACAATGGTGTTAATATCATTCATTGATTTCCTAGTTGAATAATTTATGTAGTAAAATTTGACAGGTTTTTAAAAAACTTAGGCTGCCTTATATAGGCAGTACATGGGTAGAGTAGAGTAAATGGGCAAATTTTAAAAATTTTATCTAAATTCATAAACTTTCAAACATGAAGAAAAGGACACCACTGCTTTGCTTAGATTCTCAGCAGCAGACGAAATACTCTTCTCTTTGTGTAATAACAGAGGTAATAATATAGTATCCTATTTCCTTTTTCTATCCTATGATACAAAGAGCACCAAGTGTGATATCCAGACTCAAAATCACATAATGCAGTAACTTTAACTTATGAAAACATGGTAAAATACAATTAAATATTTACTTTTACAGGGCATTAAACCCATTGCTTGCATTGACACATATATTGACATGGACATCAAATTTCATTTGTATACAGGAGAACTTTCAAATCATCAGGAAAGCTTGATTTCACTAAATAATGCCAAGTGTAAACACCACAAATAGAAAGGTGCACATGTTACAATCTTAATAATACTAATTGACTTATATTACGAGGTCCATGAATGATAATGCACCTAATAAACCAATATTAGAATAAAATCCCAAGCATACCAATAAACCTGCCACTGCAGTTATTTAATGTGCTTTTATGCAAGGAGCATGTGCTGCTAATTTAGATTCCGTTGACGCAGCAGATTGTTATAACTCCAAGGGTCCTGGGTGATGCTACCCAATTGATGATAAGTGGGGCAGGTCAGTTCATCAGGCTTTATCTCTAATTAGCAATAAGAATGCACACTGCAAACTATAGCAGAGGAAAGGCCTGACCTTGCTAAATGAGACACACATTGGAGGGAGGGCAACCAAAGCTCCGTATTTCAGAGGAGGAAGCCTATTATGAAGCAAGCAAATGGTACCCACTTTGGAAGAGCCACATCTGCCATCAAAACACAATGTATCAAGTCAACCCACAGAAACCTACTCCCAGAGAAACATCTTATGTTTTACCCTCCCCCACATCTTTCTCCTTACCTAGGAAGAAGAGAAAAAAAGCTAGATTTACCTTTCTCACAGTGGCTTCCTGTGAATCCAGGTGGACAGACACATTTGTTAGGAGCCACACATGTTCCACCATACCTGCAGCCCTCCTCGCAGAATGCTGTAACAAAAGAATGTAGGAGTTCACTTAGATGAAATGCAGTAGGGAAATTCATGGATAACAGCATGAGTATTGAAAGGACTCTTTCTTTGTTGCATAGGGAATACACTTCTGTATTGACTTATTTAAAAATGTCCATGCACAAAAAGAAATAAATTTAACAATATCTATTTCACTGATTTATATAAAATCAATCAAAATAATGGATGTGAAAGTGTTTAACACAGGTCTGGCATGTGCTAAATGATAGCTACTACTAAAGATATAACTATCACTGTTATTATTGGTATATTTGAAATCCAATAGGATAAATTGACTAACTAGAAATGGTAAGGTCAGGGTGATGGCAAAGGCTTTTTAAATTGCTGACTTGTATAATCAACCACTTTTCACTGAATACCTTTTATGACAATAATTTTTCTATTTTTTAAAAAAGAATTGGTAGTTGATAAAATTTTGATAACATAATAAACTGAACAAAAACAGCTTACTTTTGATTTTTTAGCTGTTTTGAATATTTTGGTGATAAAAATAATGCATTGTCTTTGTAGCTAATATGCTTAGCTGAACCTAAATTATTCCTTTGGGGAAAATGCCTTTGTAAATACTGCTTGAATGGGTATGGATTCAAGCCTTTCAATAAGCCTTGCAAAGTTACTCCAACTGTGTCCCTCTACTCCCCTGCTAACCCTTCCAGATGAGGTCAGTTCCATGTGTTACTCATTGACATAGCATAGGAAAGCAACATGTGCTCTCGATGATGGCCTGAGGGACAATTGTACATTTATATATAATTGATTACCATTTCCTTCTCATCCAATGGACTATAAAACCCATAAAGATAAATGTTTCTGCTCACCACTGTATCCTTGATTCAGTATCTGACCACATAGCAAATGCTCAAAAAAATATTGGTTGAATGATTTACCCTTCATCTTGCAAGTATTTTTCTGATAGGAAAACTCTTGTTCTAACAATTTCGTGTCACTTCAATCCATAATAATTTATTTTCAAATGCTGCTAAATAACCAATAATTGAGTATACTACTTAACAAAAACAGGAAAATGTCTTCTTAATGAAGATGATTGGGACTGTTAACCCTGAGTTTCTTTTATCCACATGAAAGCCAGGCACGCAAATGTTTTAAATTTTAATTGTAGCTAGAAAATGTCACCCTGGAAAAATGTCATGGTTATATTTTGCTATCATCACATAATTAATATAAGCCTAGCTTTAAAAAGCCACGTGATGTATTTAGATAGTTGAATACCAGTCCAAGTATGAAGGATTTCTCATAGTATTGTCGTTTTCCACATCATTTAATATCCCTTGGATGATTTAACATTCTATAGCCTCAGCAATTAATTGTGAGACCCTTGGCTTCTGCTAGAGGTCAGTATATACCCTGGATTTCAAGTGACACTTCCTATCCAGCATCTTGGTACACTTAACCTATGCCCAAATAGATTTAGAAAATATCTGCCTTGGTATGTTCATCATAAAATCCAAAATATATATACACACACACACACACACACACACACACACACAAAATCTCTTGTGCCTGAAATATCACACATTGTGAGCTCTAGTGACTGACATTTTCAATGAGATATTTAAAGTACAGCTCTACATCAAAGTTAACATCTTAACAGGAAAGTGTTTTTGCAAGCTAAAAATGACATGGAAAAGCTGGTGAGATAAAGTTCCAAGTGGCAGCAAAAGAGAGAAGGGAGCCTGGCATGGTGATGCACGCCTGTAATCCCAGCAGCTCAGAAGGCTGAGGCAGGAGGATCACGAATTCAAAGCCAGCTTCAGCAAAAGTGAGGCGCTAAGCAACGCAGTGAGACCCTGTCTCTAAGTAAAATATAAAATAGGACTGGGGATGTGGCACAATGGCTGAGTGCCCCTGAGTTCAATCCCTGGTACAGAGAGAGGGGGAGAGAGAGAGAGAGGCAGGGGGGGGGGGGGGGGGGGGGGGGGGGGGGGGGGGGGGGGGGGGGGGGGGGGGGAGATGAAGAGAGAGGGAGAGAGAGAGAGAGGGAGAGAGAGAGAGAGAGAGAGAGAGAGAGAGAGAGAGAGAGAGAGAGGGAGAGGCTTGGAAATAGAGGGCTCTGCTTGACTTTTTTCCCTTACAAATGAAACAGCAGTTCATGTAGAACCTGCATACTGGATAGGAGCCATGATGATTGTTCATAGTGAGTGCGTGCTCTTCATTTACTCATCTCTTAAGTAGAAATAATAATCGGAAGTTTTGTGAGGATAACATAAGATGTTTATGATATTTTATGTAGGTACAAAATAGGGCTGGGGATGTGGCTCAATGGCTGGGTGCCCCTGAGTTCAATCCCTGGTAGAGAGAGAGAGAGAGAGAGAGAGAGAGAGAGAGAGAGAGAGAGAGAGGGGGGGGGGGGGGAGAGGGGGGGAGAGGGGAAGGAAGACGGGGGAATGTCATAATTAATAGGGTCCTGAGAGGGATGAAATGAGTTATTATTTGTAAGGAATTTGAATGGTGTTTGGCAGAGTTAGTGCTATGTTAAGAGTTTTGTTAAATAAAATTGATACCAGTGTCATTGTGACAGTGATGTAAGGACCAAGAACAGTCTAAAACTCAGACTAAAATACAATACAAAGTGTTCATCTTTGCCAATAAGTGTTTAAGGAATCCATTGTTACTTTTATTTGTTTTAATTTCTAACAAAGGTGGTACTCAACCTTATTATGGAAATATCTTATAAGTGTCTTCATTTCTGTATAAAATAAGGGAAACTGAGGTTCAGAAATCAGTGCCCTAAGACAGCATAAGTATTCACTAGAAGAGCCAACATTCAAGCACAGAAAACTTTGCCTTCAAAATCTTAACTGTTTTTCATAGGTTATAGTTCAGGTTCTTCCACAAAAAGCTATTCACATAGGCAGGTTTATTCTTTTTTGAATAGTACCATAATAATTAAGGGAACTCACTTAAATTTAAAAGAAAAATACATCCAAATTGTACCAGTTGCATTACAGAACTGATGTAGGTAGTGTTCATGTTCCTATTTAGTCAATCTGTATTATGGTTTATAATAGGAAATTTCCCTAGGTTTCATGTGTAGAAGGCTTGGTTCTCAATACAGCAAGTTTTCAGAGGAAGTGATTAGATCATGAAGGCTCTGACCTCATCAGTGGATTAATCCATGAGAGCTGAGAGGATTACTGGGAGGTGGTGGAAGCTGTAGGCAGTGGGTATGGTTGGAGGAAGTAGGTCATGGGAGACATGCTCTGGAAGGGTATTTTTTTTTTTAATCTCTAGCCCCTCCCACCCTCTGTTTCCCTGGCTTCTATAAGCTGAGCACCATCTTCTGCCATGATGTTCTGCTTCACCTAAAGCCCAAAGTAATGGAGCTAGCCAAACACTGAGTGAGACCTCTGGAACTGTGAGCCCCAAATAAACATTTCCTCCTCTACATTGCTCATGTCAGGTATTTGGGTTGCAGTCATAAAAAGATGACTAACATAATCTCTATTTTTGTCTGACCTGAGTCATATATCTTATAAATTTGGCACATACCATTGTTGGAATTTATCTGGAATAATAATTTTAAAAAAACAACACCCTAATAAAAATGGACTATGTCATCCAAAACTCAAACTATTTTGAAGAAATTAAGATGAATATAAGTGTTCTTTGAATATCTCATAAAACATCAAAATAAACAATTGTCTCTTGGTCTAGAGGTTATGGATAGATTATTTATAACTGAATGGGCTATTCTTGATTAACTATGAACCCAGAATTTCAGAGGAAAGGACTCTGGTAGTCAGTGAACCTATCATTTGCACAGCATTACTGTGTTAGTGGCAGAACCAAGACAAGAAACCAGGTTGTCACTATGTTCCCTTCCTAGATTATGAGATAAGACTCTTAGAAACTGTATAGTCCATGCCTCTGCTCTAGATTTACTAGACTGTGTGACCTACAGAAAATTCTTTAAATTCTCTGTGTCTCATTATTATCAGGACCAGGCAGTGATGATTAATAATAACACCCTTGTTGTGGGGGTTAAATTAAATTACCAACATCACTACCCAGCAGAGTGCACACAGCAAGTGAAATGGGCTCAAGGATTGGAGGTGACTGCTATTTATTTATCACCAGAATTCTGCTTTTCCAGAAAATACTAGTATATAAATATGCTGGATTCTGGAGGCACAGGAGTAAAACAGAAAAGGTCTCTGTGCTATGGAGCTTATTTGTTAGTGGGCCTCATTGCCACTTTGTCCTTGCCATTGCAATGTCCTTAGTATCATGTGGTTTGCCATCATGGAACTTGGAATCGTAACTCCTTTGCAAACTTAGGGAAACTCAGGCACCATAGGTATTTGACTTAATATGTTGTTGCCTATTTGTCAACCCCTGTTCAGAATCTGCAGTGTGGCATAAATAGATTATATATACACGATGAGATTACAAAACTCAATCCGTTGCTTCAGTGACATTTGTTATTAACTTACTGCCCTGAAGGAGATGTTTGATTGGATCAACTCTAAAATGGCATGCTTCTATTTTTGAAAGGATACTTTTTATTGTGCAGGAAAATAAAATAAAAAAACTCAAGTTGAGGGAGATTTAATCCACACAAAGAATATTTGTTTCTATATGTAAAAAGTTAAGTCTCGGCATGTGAAATGAACTTGGACATGAAGGGGAACAAAATGAGAAGGTGGATTTGCAGATGTCAGGTTTGTGGATGCTGGGAATCGTCACCATGTGCTAAATTTGACAAACCTGGTTGTACACTAATAAAAAGTAATAGCCCTTCACATTCTAAACACTTCTCATGATCCTCTTAAAGTTTTACTGGCACATACTTAGTTCCTAGGGACAGCCTGAAATCCTGATAAAATAAGTGCAAGTTTCAGTTCCATCTGTTAGAAAGAAACCCTTTCCCTCCCTCCTGGTTTCCTTGAGGAAACATTTTCCTTAGGCTGGTTTCTGACCCCTCTCTGCTCACTT